TTAGTCTGAGAATTCACTAATGTACAGCCAGCCTTTTTCCTCGCTTCTGTAGGCTGTCTGCACTCCCATGCCTGCCTCCTCTACACACAGGGGCAGATTTACTAAAACTGAAGAGTGCAAAATCTGGTGCAGTTCTGCATGTAAACCAATCAGCTTCCAGTTTTTTTTGTCAAAGCTTAATTGAACAAGCTGAAGTTAGAAGCTGATTGGCTACCATGCACAGCTACACCAGATTATGCACTCTCCAGTTTTAGTAAATCAACCCCACAATGCAGGATTCATAGTTTTTTGTAGATGATGATCCATAGAGATCACCCATGGCCCAGAGCACCAAAGGGAGAGCGCTGGAACTACTGGAGTGGGGTGTAAGGTAAGTACTGCAGTCCCCCCTAGACCTCATTTAGCCCTTGCATTTTGGGGGGCACTGCAGGGGTAGAATTTCTCTAATTCTGGGTTTTAACAAAAGGAGCATTTTGTAATTACACAAATGGGTAATGTACCATGAATGCCTTATAAACACTATGATTTTATTCACAATCCATTGAGGACAGCTATGTAATCACCTCCCTCTCCATACTAGTCTATAGTAATTTCTTGGCTGGTTCAGAGAAGCAGTGATTGTGGCTCTGCACTTGGCATGTTTGGAAGGTTCTCGTATCCTAGAGCTCTGTTGCTAATCTTTCAGCCTCTGGGATTTGTAATCCCTGTTATTACTACTCTTCAATTAGTCAGTCATGTGAAGCACTTGAAGGACAGATTCAGCTCATTTCTAGAAAACATCTCTCTTCTGACCCTCTACCATTAGTTTAATTGGTCACAAATCCTATCGGTCCTGTTTTACAAAGCCCCCGGTATATGTATGATGTCCAGGGGCTTTCTGCTGTCTGATCTTCTTGTAGATGGTTGAGGTTCAGGTCCTAATTGATACCTACTAATCAATCAAGTGATGACTGAATGATAATCTGTCTATGGCAGTGTGCAGAATTACCAGCTTAGGTGTATGGGGACCTTATGTCAAAACTGCACCTTTCTTGATGCTGTCTTAGTGGTTGGGGTCCCTCCCTATAGCAACAGACAGATCCCTTCATCCTGCTATCTTAGTGCTTGGGGTCCCCCATATAGTAACAGACAGATTTCTTCATCCTTCTATCCTAGTTGTTAGGGCCCCTTTATATAGTGACAGACAGCTCCCTTCATAAAACTGTCTTAGTGGTCGGGGTCCCCCCATATAGTAACAGATAGCTCCCTTTATAAAACTGCCTTAGTGGTTTGGGTCCCCCATATAGTAACAGATAGCTCCCTTCATAAAACTGTCTTAGTGGTTGGGGTCCCCCCATATAGTAACAGATAGCTCCCTTTATAAAACTGCCTTAGTGGTTGGGGTCCCCCCATATAGTAACAGATAGCTCCCTTCATAAAACTGTCTTAGTGGTTGGGGTCCCCTCATATAGTAACAGATAGCTTCCTTTATAAAACTGCCTTAGTGGTTTGGGGTCCCCCCATATAGTAACAGATAGCTCCCTTTATAAAACTGCCTTAGTGGTTTGGGTCTCCCCATATAGTAACAGGCTCCCTTCATAAAACTGTCTTAGTGGTTGGGGTCCCCCCATATAGTAACAGATAGCTCCCTTTATAAAACTGCCTTAGTGGTTGGGGGTCCCCCCATATAGTAACAGATAGCTCCCTTTATAAAACTGCCTTAGTGGTTGGGGTCCCCCCATATAGTAACAGATAGCTCCCTTTATAAAACTGTCTTAGTGGTTGGGGTCCCCCCTTAGTAACAGATAGCTCCCTTTATAAAACTGCCTTAGTGGTTGGGGTCCCCCCATATAGTAACAGATAGCTCCCTTCATAAAACTGTCTTAGTGGTTGGGGTCCCCCTAGTAACAGATAGCTTCCTTTATAAAACTGCCTTAGTGGTTTGGGGTCCCCCCATATAGTAACAGATAGCTCCCTTTATAAAACTGCCTTAGTGGTTGGAGTCCCCCCATATACTAACGGACAGCTCCTTTCATCCTTCTATCTTAGTGTTTGGGGTTCCTCAATATAGTAACCGAGAGACCCCTTCATACTTCTATCTTAGTGTTTGGGGTTCCTCAATATAGTAATAGACAGCTCCCATCACATTGCTATCTTAGTAGTTGGGGGTCCCTCTCTATAGTAACAAATAGATCCTTTCATACTGCTATCCTAGTGGTTGGGGGGTCCCTCTATATAGTAACAGACAGTTACCTTCATCCTGCTATTTTAGTGGTTGGGGTCCCTCCATATAGTAACAGACAGCTAGCTCCTTTCATATTGCTATCCTAGTGTTTGGGATTTATCCATATAGTAACATACAGCTCCCTTCATACTGCTATCCTAGTGTTTGGGGTCCCTCCATATGGTAACAGACAGCTCCCTTCATCCTGCTATCTTAGTGTTGGGGTCCCTCCATATAGTAACACACAGCTCCCTTCATCCTGCATTCTTAGTGACTGGGGTTCCTCCATATAGTAACACACAGCTCCCTTCATCCTGCATTCTTAGTGACTGGGGTTCCTCCATATAGTAACACACAGCTCCCTTCATCCTGCATTCTTAGTGACTGGGGTTCCTCCATATAGTAACACACAGCTCCCGTCATCCAGCATTCTTAGTGACTGGGGTTCCTCCATATAGTAACACACAGCTCCCTTCATCAGCATTCTTAGTGACTGGGGTTCCTCCATATAGTAACACACAGCTCCTTCATCCTGCATTCTTAGTGACTTGGGGTTCCTCCATATAGTAACACACAGCTCCCTTCATCCTCCTATCTTAGTGGTTGGGGTTCCTCCATATAGTAACACACAGCTCCCTTCATCCTGCATTCTTAGTGACTGGGGTTCCTCCATATAGTAACACACAGCTCCGTTCATCCAGCATTCTTAGTGACTGGGGTTCCTCCATATAGTAACACACAGCTCCCTTCATCCAGCATTCTTAGTGACTGGGGTTCCTCCATATGGTACCACACATCTCCCTTCATCCTCTATCTTAGTGGTTGGGGTTCCTCCATATAGTAACACACAGTTCCCTTCATCCTCCTATCTTAGTGGTTGGGGTTCCTCCATATAGTAACACACAGCTCCCTTCATCCAGCATTCTTAGTGACTGGGGTTCCTCCATATAGTAACACACAGTTCCCTTCATCTTCCTATCTTAGTGGTTGGGGTTCCTCCATATAGTAACACACAGCTCCCTTCATCCAGCATTCTTAGTGACTGGGGTTCCTCCATATAGTAACACACAGCTCCCTTCATCCAGCATTCTTAGTGACTTGGGGTTCCTCCATATAGTAACACACAGTTCCCTTCATCCAGCATTCTTAGTGACTGGGGTTCCTCCATATAGTAACACACAGCTCCCTTCATCCAGCATTCTTAGTGACTGGGGTTCCTCCATATAGTAACACACAGCTCCCTTCATCCTGCATTCTTAGTGACTTGGGTTCCTCCATATAGTAACACACAGCTTCCTTCATCCTCCTATCTTAGTGGTTGGGGTTCCTCCATATAGTAACACACAGCTCCCTTCATCCTGCATTCTTAGTGACTGGGGTTCCTCCATATAGTAACACACAGCTCCCTTCATCCAGCATTCTTAGTGGACTGGGGTTCCTCCATATAGTAACACACAGCTCCCTTCATCCAGCATTCTTAGTGACTGGGGTTCCTCCATATAGTAACACACAGCTCCCTTCATCCAGCATTCTTAGTGACTGGGGTTCCTCAATATAGTATCACACATCTCCCTTCACCCTCCTATCTTAGTGGTTGGGGTTCCTCCATATAGTAACACACAGTTCCCTTCATCCTCCTATCTTAGTGGTTGGGGTTCCTCCATAATAGTAACACACACAGCTCCCTTCATCCAGCATTCTTAGTGACTGGGGTTCCTCCATATAGTAACACACAGCTCCCTTCATCCAGCATTCTTAGTGGTTGGGGTTCCTCCATATAGTAACACACAGCTTCCTTCATCCAGCATTCTTAGTGACTGGGGTTCCTCCATATAGTAACACACAGCTCCCTTCATCCAGCATTCTTAGTGACTGGGGGGTTCCTCCATATAGTAACACACAGCTCCCTTCATCCTCCTATCTTACCATAGTAACACACAGCTTGCTTTCCATATAGTAACAGCCACCTTCCTTTGCACATGCAAAGCTTTTTTAGATGCAAAAGCCTGATCTACCATGAACAAACAGAGAAAAATGAGCTTTAAAGCCAATTTCCAAGAAAAAAACCCTCAAATTGTTAATATGGTATTTTTCCTCCAGGTTGAATGCTTTTATTCCTACTGAATAGAGTGAATCAGGAAAATAACACATTATAGCCACTAGATGGAGCCAGTAGTCATAGTAAAAAAATATTTCCAATGATCATTGGCCCCCATCTTTTATATATCCCTCACCTAGGTGAGAATGACAGAGCCCCCAGGCTCCTCTCCTGGGACGACACATGTGCGTCATTAGGGATCTGGCTGCAGGAACTAGAGACAGAAGGCTCTCAATCATGTCAGAGAGCAAGATCGCAGAGTGGGATCGAGTAAGAGCAGCAGTTCATCAGATCACTGCAGGAGCCCTCCTATCATTCATCCACCCCTCCTCCATTCACAGGACACCTTACATTCTAAAGTTGTAATACTAGAAGTTTTGTGAATGGCTGAGGGAACAGAAATCCTTCACAGTTGCAGCCTTCATCCTGGTATCTCTGTAATATTCCAGCTGTAGGGGAATCCAGCATCACAGAGGGGCCTGCAGGACCTGGGATACACTTCATTACAGGTGTGTATTAGACCGGGGTTGAACATTTTGTACTAGACTGCAGCTTTGTGTCTGTATGCATCAATATATGTAGAGATCAAATTGTCTTTAAATTGTTGTAGATTTTTGCATTTTTAATGACTAATCCATTCTAATATATTGTATTTGTACAAAAACGTTTAAAGTAAATCCATTTTGTTTTTTCATCCAGGTTCCATTTCTGTGCTCCACCAAGGAGACCACATCTGTGACCCAACAATCCCAACGGTACTTGAATAATAGAGACTATGTCACTTTTGAGAACTTTCCAAAGACTCTTGCCAATGCAAACATTTCCGTGAAATATCTGTGTACCCGGCCTTGCACGGTGCACATGGATGTGGTGGCTTCCTCAGAGTTTAGAACTGGGATTGTAGTATTTAAAAAGTCTTGGAATAATGAGAAACACGTCCATGAGCTACGGAGCCGCTTGGTGAGCTTGATGCTTCCCAGTGCCATGGTGTACAGGAGTGACGGTATCATGCAGCACAGCATTGACATGTACTACGCCGCACTCCGAGCTTGGGTGGTGCACAGCGACCATCTACAACGGGACTCCAGACACAATGAAACTCTTTTCTATGCAGCAGCAAAGACTTTCAAAGTGATCAATATTAGTCCACCGCATCAACGTCCTTACAAAGATCATCAGATATGTATATCATGGTACTTAGAGCACAGGTGGAGGCAAAAAAAAAATCCATATCTGTGTGTCCATTTGAAACAGGTAAGTTGACGGTATGTACTTCCGGTTTCTGAAAATAATAAAAAAGGTCATCGTGCATGAAAGTAGAACTAATCACAATTTTTTTTTTTTTGGGCTATTTCACACTAGTGCATTAATCGGCATTTCAACGTATTTGTAAAATGCAGATCAAAATCTAGACACCTAAAAAACAATTGTGTCCTATTCAAAACACAATGCTGCGTTGACCTGAATCACGTTGGGTCAATATGCAACATGTATGCACAACTCATGTAAACACATGAAAAATGCACATCAACGCAGCGCAACTCAGTCTTGCGCAGCTCAGTCTTGCGCAGCTCAGTCTTGCGCAGCTCAGTCTTTCTCTAACTCACAGATAGGAACAGGATGTGATGCCACAGGAAACTTGCAAAATGCATAGCACTTTAATGTACACTAAAATGGGTATCAACGCACATCAAAAAGTGCAACAATGCATCAATAAAATTGATGTAAATGTACATCCATTTTTCCTGCATTTTTCAGTGTGAATTTTTTCCTAAGGCCTGGTTCACACCTATGGGTTTTTCAGTGCGTTTTCGGTTTTGCAGAAAAGCACCACAGTCCATTTAAAGGACAAGTTCACCTTGTAACAAAAAATAATAAATGCACATTTTTTTTGCATTTACTATTTTTTTGGGGGGGGAGCCTGTAAAGCATTGCACCAGCGATCAACAGATCACTAATGCCATGCAGGACTCCTGCAGACTATCCATGTGAGTTGTCAGCCTATACTTCATATGGGCAAGCAGATACACTCTGAAAGGGGTAATTAATGATCTACCACAGCGCTTCAACAGGTCCTTTTGTAACAAGTATATGAATGTAACATGTTACTAATGGTGAACTTATCCTTTAATGTGGTTTCCTATGGGTCATGTTCACATCTCTGCATTTTCCACCGGTGCATTTTTTGGACAGGGTCAGAGACTTTTTTTCCCGCAACAGGTTGCATTTTTGGTTCCATAGACTTCAGTGGAAATGCAGCAAAAACACATTAAAAATGCAGTCCTTGCGTTTTTTTATGGGTTTCTGCTGTGTTTTTGCTGCATTCTCCCTCAAGACAGCAGGCACCTCCCAAAAACACAAAATGAGCTAAAAACGCTTAGCGCTGCATACTTGTCTACAATTCATTTATTCTGCCTGCTAAGAATGCAGTAAAAATGCATATGCAGTTTTGCTGTGTTTTTTGCAGCGTTTCTGGTGCATTTTTGATGCATTTTCCATTCATTTTAAAGGGGAGGTGCGTTTTTCTTTTCACCACAGAAAACATACACCAAAAATGCAAGAAGCAGAACTTTGAATAAATAAATACATGTACCGGTGTGATACTATGTGCTAACACAAAAAAAATAAATAAAAACCCCCAATGCCAAAATATATATACTTTCTCCCCCTGAAAGTCCAAAATGCACAGTCCAGCTTTTAGTCAGGGTCTCTGTGTTTTAAACACCCAGTAGTGTCGATATCTTCTTGATGAATATTCTTCCTCCACAGGTGATAAAATCCACTTCCTCCACTTAATACCCTCGAAAAAATATAATAGTGCATTATCTACAACACATATAGTGCATTATCTATGTGCAAAAATCACTCCACCGTGTGTGCACCTCTAACCATCCGTCATCCTTACTCTTACCCTCTCACAAAGTGTAGTAGACAAGGATAGGGATATGGCTTCTTTAATAATAAAATTGCGGTTACAAGAAAGACAAGGTGTCTCAGAATGTATAGAAATAGCAAGCAGTATGAAAAACCTTTTCCAAAATGGCTGCGCCGTACCTTCTGGTTTATGTCTGACATCACGACCTGACGCGTTTCGTCACTTCCAAATTCATCTGAGGTTCAGATGAAGTCGGAAGCGATGAAACGTGTCAGTAATGACGTCGGACGTAAACCGGAAGTTACGGAGCGGCCATATCCCCATCCTTACCTACTACACGGTTTTGGTTGTACTTTGCTACATGTTAAGATGCCATTGAGAACTGGATGATCTGTAGACTGAGAGGAGCCCTCTTTTCTATGTAAGTGGATTTTATCGTCTGGTAAGGTGCATAAGAGAGGAGGCGGTGGTCAGTGTGTTCACTAGCACTGGAAGTTTATGTTATGAGGGGAGCATGAACAGAGTGAAAGTATTGTTTTGAAGATATGACACTATATGCAATTCCTTCGGAGGTACGTTTCCTATACGAAACTGGATAGATATAGGAGCCCAACCACGAAGGAAGGATTTTGTGGAAGCTTTTTAAAATTTGTGAGAGGGTAAGAGTAAGGATGATGGATGCTTAGAGGTGCACACACAGTGGAGTGATTTTTGCACATATTAGCACTATCTTTGTAAGTGCGTTTTGGTGTGTTGGATATCATGCATTGTAGATAACGCACTATACGCAATTTATATTTTTTCGAGGGTATTAAGTGGAGGAAGAGGATTTTTATCCCTTGTGGAGAAAAAATATTCATTTTAGAAGATATCGGCACTCATTAGACCCGCACCTGACCAGTCTCTAAAGAGTTCCATAGGATTTAATAGTCATGCGTTTTCTGCCACTTTTTCAAAAAAAGGTCTGGATTCTTTCTTAGTTACACAGACTATAACTGGATACTAACATTTATAGGTAAAGTTGATCCAGGGAATATCCAACTGCCTCTCGGGGGAACAGGAAGGAATTTTTTTCCCAGCAGTAGCAAATTGGATCGTGCTTTGCTAGGTTTTTTTTTTTTGCCTTCCTCTGGATCAACTGTGGGTATAGGATTATAACTTTTTTTTTCTATGGTTGAACTGGATGGACTTTTGTCTTTTATCAGCCAGGCTAACTATGTAACTATGTAACGCAAGAACAGAAGAAAAGCTGATTAGTGTGAAAGCAACCTTATTGATTGCAAATCCCATAACAATCCTTGCGTTTAACCTTGATTCCTGAGGAATAAACTGAAAAACCCTTACATTTGCAACCATTTGCACCACCCATGTAATGTTATCTAAAGGATTTATTACAGCAGGAAGAGTAGGTCTGGAATCTGGTTTAACAAGGATATGCAAATAAACTATTATCTGATTACTGGTTATCTCATCTACAGTCCCTCTAGTAGGTCGGACTGGGCTGATGAAGGAACCTGGGGTTACACATGTCATTTTTTCCTGTTACTGTTCTTCACTAGAACACTAGATCTCCATTAAAAGCTCTCTTTGCATGCACAGTGACCAGAAAATGTTTTACTCAGGGTGACTGCAGGGTTTATAAGAAGACATCCCAAAACTAATATTTTATTTCCGGTGTAAAGCTGGGGCAGGCTTTGTGTAAAAGGAACTTTCTGTTCAGGGTAGATTTTTAAAGCTCCAGCCATACCTTCAGCCTTGATTAATTGTACAGTCTCCTCTCCTTTGCTGAAATTGCTTACTTTCATTTCCCTGCACACTGAATGTCTTCACAGTGTGCATTAGAAGCTGCAGCAGGTCAGATAGAGCCACACTCATTTTCTGGCTGGAGAAGTGCACAGAGCATGGATTATAGTTAGTAGCAGAAAATTGACGTCGCACCAAACTGCAAACGTTCTTTTCAGTTGTAGGTGAACCAGGATGCCGACCATGAGACACTGTCCCCTCTCCGTGTGTCATCCATGTAATAAACAAAAGGCTGCACGGCAATGATGTCACAAAGGAAAAACAAGCTTTACTGAACCAAGTGGTCACACGGTAGGCTTGAGAAGTGCCTGTCCCTGACATGCTTCACTTTTACTGACTTAATTGCAGGGACTAAATTCTCAGGTGAAGACTCAGTGTATGACCACTTAATTCAGTAAAGCTTGTTTTAATGAAGTGATGTCATTGGAGCATGGCCCTGTGTTGCTTGCAGGCATGAAATATAGATTGATAAAAAGAACTCTGCGCTTAGTGTCACAAACTGAAAATATAAGTACAAATACAAAGGACAGCAGCACTCTGTAATTGCCAGAATACAGCAACTGGTATATACTACTGTAGATGAAAATGGTTGCACTGTCTCTTTAAAAGTCAACTGAGAAAAGCTTGTGAATGACTGAACCACCACAAAGACATTCATCTAAGAGCAAAATCTGTGAAATTGCAATGTTAGCTGACAATTGCTCCTCCTTGTATAAATTTGATGTGACATAAAATAAACAAGATATGCATAAGAAGAAATTATAACAAAGTAGAAGAAAAGTTCAGCCACTATAAAGTTCACAAATCATGTGACCAATACCCAATCGCGTTATCTCTATGAACACTAGCGATTTCTTCATGATAATTAAGATTAAATACATAACAACAGCAGTGAAAAAATACAGTAAATTTATAATCTAGGACAGGGGTCTCCAAAGAAAGGGCCAATTTGCTGTCCTTCGGACTTTAGGGGGGCCGGGCTTTGGGTATTGGGAGTAGAAAAGGTCCTGATGTCAGTTGGAATAACCAATGCCCCATCTTTGGTGTCAGAGAAAGGAAGAGCACCCAATTGTTGGTGTCAGTGGGAAGAAATGTGACGCATTATTGGTGTCATTAGGCCCCATTATTGGTGTCACTGGGAGGAATTGTGCCCCATCATTGGTTAGTGGGGAGAATTTTGTTCCATTGTTGGTATCAGTGGATGAAATAGTGCCCCAATGGCCGGATAAAAACAGGCAAATGGCCACATCTGGCCTCTGGACAGCAGTTTGGAGACAACTGATCTAGGACATTCAAAAACACAGTCCATGTGTTGATTGAAAATCAAGTGCTAGCAAACCACTGTGCAGACTGTGTAGACTTCAGTGCTCCGACACCACAAATGCACAGTGGCATAGTTGGATTGTGACATCAGTATTTTAATTAAATAAAGCATTTTTTGTAATAAAAGTTAATGCACTATAGTTTCTGTACTACTTTTCCTCCA